TTCCAATCCCAAAGAAAGGCAACACCAAAGAATGCTCAAACTACCACACAATTGCCCTCATCTCACATGCTAGCAAAGTAATGCTCAAAATTTTCGAAGCCAGCCTTCAACAGTACGTGAACCAAGAACTTCCAGATGTTCAAGCTGGATTTAGAAAAGGCAGAGGAACCAGAGATCAAATTGCCAGCATCTGCTGAGTTATAGGAAAACCAAGAGAGTTCCAGAAAATCATCTGCTTTATTGACTATGTTAAAGCCTTTCACTGTGTGGATCACAACAAACTGGAAAAATCTTAAAGAGAGGGGAAATACCAGGTATTCCTGAGAAATCTGTATGCAGGTCAAGAAGCAACAGTTAGAACTGGACATGGAACAACAGACTGGTTCCAAATTGGGAAAGAAATACATCAAGGCTGGATATTGTCACCCTGCTCATTTAACTTAGACATAGAGTACATCATGGGAAATGCTGGGCTGGATGAAGTACAAGCTGGAATCAAGATTGCCGGGAGAAACATCAATAACCTCAGATATGCAAATGACACCATCCTTACAGCAGAACTAAAGAGCCTCTTGATGAAAGTGAAAGAGGAGAGTGAACAAGCTGGCTTAAAACTCAACATTCAAAAAACAAAGATCATGGCATGTGGTCCCATCACTTCATGGCAAATAGATGGAGAAAGAATGGAAACAGTGAGAGTTATTTTCTTGGTCTCCAAAATAACTGCAGATGGTGACTGCAGCCAAGAAATTAAAAGACACTTGCTCCCTGAAAGAAAAGTTATGACCAACCTAGACAGCATATTAAAAAGCAGAGACATTACTTTGCTGACAAAGGTCTGTCTAGCCAAAGCTATGGTTTTTCTAATAGTCATATATGGATGTGAAAGCTGGACCATAAAGAAAGCTAAGCGCCGAAGAATTGATGCTTTTGAACTGTGGTGTTGGAGATGACTCTTGAGAGTCCCTTGGACTGCAAGGAGATCAAACCAGTCCATCCTAAAGGAAATCAGTTCTGAGTATTCATTGGAAGGACTGATGCTGAAGCTGAAGCTCCAGTACTGTGGCCACCTGATGTGAAGAACTGACTCACTGGAAAAGACCCTGATGCTGGGAAAGATTGAGGGCAGGAGGAGAAGGGGACGACAGAGGATGGGATCGTTGGATGGCATCACTGACTCGATGGACAAGAGTTTGAGCAACTCAGGGAGTTGGTGATGGGCAGGGAAGCCTGGCAGACTGCCATCCATGGGGTCGCAGAGTCAGACAAGACTGAGCGACTGAACGGAACTGAAAGTGCCCCATTTCCCCAGGTCCAGGCACACTGACAGCCCACTGCTCCTGTCTTCCTAGCCAAGCCCTCCAGTGTCCCAGTACAGACAGCACTGGCCCTTCCCCAGCCCCTGCAGGCCACCCATTGCCCACCCTGATCTCCTCCTCATGACCCACGTGCTATCTCCTCAAGTCACCATGGTAACCTCCTGGTGACCTGGGTCATCTCTCTCCTACAGACACTGTTGTTCAGGCAGTCCTTTCATTTTGCCTCTCTGCTCAGCCAAACAATATTCTTTTTTCTTTTTCTTAATTTTTATTGGAGTATCGTTGATTTATAGTGTTGTATTAGTTTCAAGTGCACAGCAAAATGAATCAGATATATATATATGTATATATATATATCCATTCTTTTTCAGATTCTTTTCCCATATAGATTATTAGAAAATATTGAGTAGAGTTCCCTTTGCTACAAAGTAGGCCCTTGTTCATTATCTATTTTATACATAGTAGTGCATATGAACCTAGAAATTGTCGTACTAAGTGGAGTGAGTCACACAAAGACAAATAACACATGATATCACTTATATGTGGGATCTAATTTTAAAATGATACAAATGAACCTTTTTACATAACAGAAACAGACTCACAGATCTTGACATTTCAAGTCTTGAGCTACTATGCGCTTAGTTTGCTCAGTTGTGTCCGACTCTGCAACCCCACGGACTGTAGCCCGCCAGGCTTCTCTGTTCATGGGATTCTCCAGGCAAGAACACTGGAGTCGGCTGCCATAAGCTCCTCCAGGGGATCTTCCCAAACCAGGGATCAAGCCCAGGTCTTCCGCATTGTAGGCGGATTCTTTACCGTCAGGGAAGCCCAAGAATGCTGGAGCAGGTAGCCCATCCCTTCTCCAGAGGATCTTCCTGACCCAGGAATCAAGCCGGGGTCTTCTGCCCTGCAGGTGGATTCTTTACCAACTGAGCTGCCAGGGATGCTACTGTGCATGCTTTCAACTGTCTAGATAAACAGTCATACGGATAGGGGTCTTTCCACCTGTGGCCACGAGCTCCCGGAGGATTCACACCAGGGATCACTCTGTACCTGCCTCTCCCTGGGGGTCTCCTCACTCTTTCCCTTTTTCCCCAAACTAACAAGACCTCCTGCACCATGGAAGTCTCAGCTGATGACTTCACTTCCAATTTCACAAAGAAAATAGAAGCAATCACAAGGAAATGCCTCTCTGAGCGCCACATGTGTCTTTCATATAGACCATCCCCACCAGTAACTATCAGTGTCCCTCCCTAAACAACCCCACCTGTACACAAACACACCTCCTTCACCTACTCAAGACACAGTCCCAGCAGCCCTCTGTCGTATATTAACATTTTTTTCCTCTCTACTAGACCATCCCCACGGATGTATAAATAAAGCTAATGCATCTAACTAAAAACAAATTCTCTCAGACTGACTTACCCCACCAGACACCACCCCATATTCTGCTCCCCTTGGCAGCAAACCTCCTCCAAACTGTTGTCAACAATCTCTTGTCTCATATTCTTGCCTCCATCTTTCCCTTCAAACCCACTCTCCTTGGCCTTGGTTGCCATAACCACCAGACCCACATGACATTTTGCTGTTTTTACTGAAGCCACCAATGACCCGCATGGCACTGGTTCAAGAGTCAGTTCTCCGTCTCCACCTCACTTGGCCCGTCCACATGCTGGGCACAGCTCATCATTCCCTCCTTCTGAAATGATTGCATGTGGCTTTCAAGAAGACTCACCCTTGGATTTCCCCCTTTCTGCCTAGCAGTTGCTTCTTGGTGCTCCGAAAGCTGGAAAGTCCCAGGACCCAATCTTGAAAACTCTCTCCCTAGGATTTCATCTGACCTTATTCCTTTAATAACCACAGACCAAAGACGTCCACTGTATCTCCATCTCAGACCACCGTCTTCAACTACCAGATCTGGATATACCTGTCACTCAGCATCTCCAGTTGGGGGTCTTATAATCTTAAACATAATCTGTTCAAAATCGAACCCCTTGTGGCACCACACCCTTGCCACCACCCTGGCGGACTTCCTCATCTCAGTTGGTGACAACTCTCCAGTTAAATCTTTGCCATCGTGATGGACTTTCCCTTCTTCTCAAGCCCTACATCCATTCTGCCAGGACACCTTAAGGGTTCTTTCTTCAAAATGTATCCAGAATGTGACCACTTCCTGCTTTTCACGGCTACCAATGGAGCAGGCCACTGAATTATCTCTTGCTGGAATTACTACAGTGGATTTCTCTAACAACCTCTAAGTGGTCTCCTGGTCTTCCCCTATCCTCTAACATCAGTGCCAGAATGAGCCAATTAAAATGGATCCTGCCCCTCCTCTGCTTAAAACCCTGCACTGATTTTTCAAACCCATAATTCCTCCAACAGTCTGTGATGCTAAACACGGTCAGTTCTCCACTGTCTCCTAACCACCCCACACCACCTGACTCACAGCTCTGGGCTGGTTCCCCTCCAGCCCCGCTGCCTCTCGGTGTTCCTGGACTCTGGGCCTTCACACACACATCTTCTTCTAACTCCAATTCTCTTGTCCCAGATGCTAACTGGCTAATTTCCAGTTCAGTTCAGTCATTCAGTCATGTCCCACTCTTTGCGACCCCATGGACTGCACCACGCCAGGCCTCCCTGTCCATCACCAACTCCTGGAATTTACTCAAATGTATGCCAATTGAGCCGATGATGCCATCCAACCATCTCATCCTCTATCATCCCCTTCTCTCACCTTCAATCCTTCCCAGCATCAGGGTATTTTCAAATGAGTCAGCTCTATGCATCAGGTGGCCAAAGTATTGGAGCTTCAGCTTCAACATCAGTCCTTCCAATGAACATTCAGGACTGATTTCCTTTAGCAGAGACTGGTTGGATCTCCTTGCTGTCCAAGGGACTCTCAAGAGTCATCTCCAACACCACAGTTCAAAAGCATCAATTCTTCAGCGCTCAGCTTTCTTTATGGTCCAACTCTCACACCCATACATGACTACTGGAAAAACCATAGCCTTGACTAGATGGACCTTTGTTGGCAAAGTCCCACAGTTCCTTAAATCCCTGTTCAAGTGTAAACTTTTTAACGAGACCTCCCAGAGCACTCCATTTAAAACTCCACCCCTCTAGACCTGGTAGCTTTTTATTTTCTCCATGACACTCAGGCCTGGGAACGAGACATAAAATTTGCTCCCTCACATGGTCTGTCTCCTGGTGCCCGTCCCCACCCTCACCTTCCACTCACATCCCGCCATCCTGGAACGTCCATGAAAGCAGAAGGGCTGGAGAAGCACAGCACCAGGCACAATGCAAGGGGCCCAATCCATCTCTCCCGGGTTGAGTCCATGAATCGTGGAAACCCTGGCCACACCACTTTGATCTTCTAAACCTGTTTCCCAGTCTACAAAACCAGACTGGCACTATCAACCTCATTAGGTTGTTAAAAGCAGTAAACGAGGACCTCGGTGGAAATCTTTGTAAGATATTAATTACTGTAATCACTTAACATAACACGCTAAGGACCATCCTCAATATTAATTAAGGGTAAGCAAACAAGGCAACAGCTTACATGGTGCGGTTTAAGAAGTTCAGAAAAACTCATTCAAGGTCTTTCCCAACTGCCTGAGATTCCAGATAGAAGACATAAATGAAGGTTTTCAAGCTTTCATTTTCCAAATTCAAAGTTACCTCTGATATGTCCTGATGGGAGGAGAGGAACGGTCTTCCAGCCAAATTCCAGGGTCCCCAGGGGCTCAGCTGGCCCACCCCCTCATGGCAGGACGCCCTCCTGGAGAAGAGGGAGGAGGTCTCTGGCACTGAGGTCCCTGCAGACCTGGGGGATGCGGAGAACACTGGACTCCGCCGAGTGCTGACCACCTGGAGACAGGAGAAGGGTACGGAGCTTAGTGAGCAGGTCTGGGCGGGGAGCAGCGAACATCAACATGCCCACTCAGCGCCATCCTGGCATCAGCCTTTCCAATCTCCAACCCAAGAGGGAAAGCCTGTGATATAACCACTAGAGTCTAGGCAGATTAATCGATGAAAGTATTACAGTTCACTGGAAGAAGAGCTGAGGTTTATGGTAAGTAACCAAACTCCACCACGAGGTTAACAGATACATTTACCAACACAGACAATTTCCAGATGACAAAGTGTCCCTGGTCTTCCTTTCCGCCCCCTCCTTTCTCAATCACAGCCGTCCAGGTTTGCCCCAACTGGACTCCAACAGGGAGAGGATTAGGTCCATAGAAAAAGCAACATAAAGCAAGACTGCATGAACTGCAATCCCCAGGGAAACTACTAAGGAGATAACTGAAAAATGAATAAAGAATGAACTACAGAATTAAAAAGGCAGATTAGAAGCTAACACTAAAGAAGGCAAAATAGAGGAATAAAGGAACACAAACAACACAGATCCATAGGGAAAAACAGCAAAACGACAAATATAAATTCTCTCTCATGGTTAACTATACTAAATAGTCTAAACACTCCAATCAAATGGCAGAAATGGGTACCATGGATAAAGAGCATATGCTGTCAAAAGAGACCCACTTCAGAACAGCATCAAAGAGTAAGACACTTTTAAATTCACAAGCTATACATTATTTATATGTTGAAAATTACCAAAACATCATTACAAGAAATTAAAAAATAAGTAAATAGACACCCTGTGCTCTAGGACTGAAAGGCAATACTTCCCAAATTGATCTTCAGGTTCAATGCAATCTCTGTTAAAATCTCAGCTTTCTGTTTTACAAAAATTGACAAGTTGTTCCTAAAATTCACATAGAAATCCAAGACACATAGAGACAAAACAACCTTAAAAAAGAAAAGCAAAGTTGGAGAATTCACATTTACTGATGTCAAAAAAAAAAAGCTACCATAATCAAAATAGTGTAATACCGGTATAAGGACACACAGAAAAGGAAAATGGCTTAGAATTGATATCCAGAAATAAACCCACATATTTATGTTTAATTGATTTTTGACAAGAGTGCCATGACAATCCAAGGAATAAATGATAGCTTTTCAAAAAATAGTACTGACATTCAAAAATGAATCTCTACACAGACCTTATACCTTCCACAAAAATTAACTCAAAATGGATTATAGACCTAAATGTAGGAACAGAAAATTATGAAACTCCTGGAAGAAGTTATAGCAGTAAATCTTTGTCATCTTTACCTACTAGTTTCTTAGACATGCCTCCAAAAGCACATACAACAAAAGAAAAAGAGGTAAGTTGGAACTCAATCAAAATTTTAAAATTGTGTGTACTACTGACAACCATCAATAAAGTAAAACCAACCCACAGAAGGGGAGAAAATATACGCAAATCCATCTATCTGATACAGACATTATACAAATCTGATAAAGATGTTGTATCCAGATTATATAACGAACACATTCAAATCAACAATAAAAAGAGAAATAACCTAAATAAATAATGGGAAAAAGATGTAAATAGACATTTCTCCAAAAAAGGATATCCAAATGGCCAACAAGTGTATCTAAAAAATGCTCAACATGATTATTCAGCTTAGGAAAGGCAAATCAAATGAGATATCACGTCACACCCACTAAGACAACTAGAACCAAAGACAGAAGACAACAAGGGTAGTTACAAATGTAGAGAATTCTGAACCCTTACATTACACATTGCTACTGGGAACTGAGTGGTGCAGCTGCTCTGAGAAATTGGCAGTTCCTCAAAGTGAGAAACACAGAGTCACATATAACCCAGCAATTTCACACCTAGGTATGCACCCAAGAGGATAGAAAACAAATGTCCACACAAAAACCTACATGTGAATGTTCACAGCAGCATCACTCAAAATAGTCAATAAGTGGGAACAACCCAAATGTCCAGCAGCTGGGGAATGCAGTTTGTCCACACATGGAGCTGGAATGCTACAATAAGGAGGAACCATGAAGGCACCCCAGGTAGCTCAGCGGTGAAGAATCTGCCTACAATGCAGGAGACCTGGGTTCGACCTCTGCGTCAGGAAGGTCTCCTAGAGAAGGAAATGGCAACCCACTCCAGTGTTCTTGCCCGGGAAATCCCACAGATGGAGGAGCCTGGCTGACTACAGTCCACAGGGTTGCAAAGAGTTGGACACGACTTAGCAACTAAACACACACATGAATGCATCACGCTAAGTAGAAGAAAATAGAAAGTCAAGCAAAAAGGCTACAAAACACAAGAAAATGTACATATGAAATGTCCAGAAGAGGCAAATCCAGAGAGACAGAAAGCAGACTGATGGTCTCTAGGAGTTTAGGGCAGGCAAGAGTAAGGAAGGACGGTTACTGGACTGGGGTTTGGGAGGGAACTGAAAATCTTCTAGCACGGGAACGGGCGTGACACTTGTACAACTTTGGGAGTATCCTGAAAATCCCTGAATTGTATACTTCAAAATGGTGAATTTTATACTACATGAATTACATCTCCAAGAAGCTTCTGTTTAAGAAGAATAGTGGTGGGCACAAGGTCGCAAGAGTCAGACACGACTTAGTGACTAAACCCCCACCAGACCTGAGATTCATCCCAATGGACAGACCCACATCTCCTCAGGAGCCAGCCCTCCCTCCCTGCTTTTACTGAGATGACAAGCTTGGCCCGCATGAGGCCGTAGCAAGTGAGTTCTCCTGCAAAGCTCCGGACCAGCTCCCGAAGCCTACAGCCTTCGACGTGGAGGCTGAGAGTTCTGAGCGACCCTTGCCCTGGCCTGGTCCCTGCTCAGAGCAAGCCCCTTCTCCTGCAGGAAGCTCCTCCTACTCCCCGAAGCGTCAAGGTACCAACTCCAGAAAACGTGCCCCTGTGTTTTGCACATCCTTTCTCTGCCTTTACTTGGCAATCAATCTGAACCCTTCAAACAAAAGGTACTACAAAACAGTCTGCACTACCACCAGTTTCTGCCATTTTTCCCACGTACAAAGAGCCAGTAAATAAAATTATAATCTTCAGCAAGAACAGCTCGGGCTGAGCTGGTGCAGGGACGACAGGAAACTGAGCCGCACTAGGAGGAGGTTTATGAAGAGAGGCTGCACGAAGGGCTCTCTGCCCAGAGGCTGTGCTGGGAGCCCGCGTGTTTTCAGGCTGCCAGCAGGTTGGAGGGCCACCCTGCCAACTTTCCAGAGCCCTGCTCAGGGGGCGGCTTTGCGCTGGCATCGCCTGGCCCCCACAAACAGGCATGAATTAAAGTATTAGAGCGCCATGGGGTTTCCCGTCTCGCGTGGCGGCTCCTCTTCCACACGGGTCCCAGGAGTGGTGGCCGCCTCCAGCCTCAGCTCAGTTGCCCAGGTATGAACCACGGGCAAAGACAACAAACCACAGCCTAAGATGAGACTTCTTGTTTCCTTAGTCTGCACTCCTCTGGCCATTCCAGTATAAATCTAATCAATTCACTCCTTTATAGGAATGAAGATGCTACATCAAACAATGAAGGTCTCAACCTGAGGAAGTCAACCTGGCACAAAGATATGCATTGAAAAAATTATTTCACCAACTGTATCATATGTGCATGTTCAGTCGTGTCTGACTCTGCGAACCCATGGATTGTAGCCCTCCAGGCTTTTCTGTCCATGGGATTCTCCAGGCAAGAATACTAGAGTGGGTTGCCATGCCCTCCTCCAGGGAATCTTCCTGACTCAGGGAATCGAACCCACGTCTCCTGCATTGCAGGCAGATTCTCTACCCACTGAGCCACGTGGGAAGCCCCAACTGTGTGTACATCAATATGCAAATGAGTCCTAGTAGTGAGTTATATAGACTTTCCTGGTGACTCAGACTGTAAAGAATCTGCCTGCGATGCAGGAGACTCCAGTTCAACCGCTGGGTCAGGAAGATCTCCTGGAGAAGGGAACATATTCCTGCCTAGAGAATTCCACGGACAGACCACAGGGTTGCAAAGAGTCGGACATGACTGAGCGACTTTCCCTCACTCAGTGAGTTATTATAAGATTATTCCCTGTTAAATTAACTCGCCAGACAAAGGACAGCTGGAATCACTAAAATATAAGGAAAAAATTGGTGGTAGGGATAACCACTCAAAATCTTCAGAACTTTGTAACACATACACACACAAACACATCACACACACATGTGTGCCACATTTACATATGGGCTTTCCAGGTGGTTCAGTGGCAAAGAATCCACCTACCAATGCAGGAGATGTGGGTGGGTCTGATCCCTCGGTCAAGAAGATGCCCTGGAGAAGAAAATGGCAACACACTCCAGTATTCTTGCCTGGGAAATCCCATGAACGGAGGAGCCTGACGGGCTACAGTCCACGGTGTCACAAAGAGTCAGACAGTACCTAGTGACTGAACAGCAATACATATATATCTATGTATGTGTGCAGGTACATACATACACACACACACACACATACATACACAAATATATACTCAGACACATACTGCAGAACTGGGTGCCCTGCTAAAGGAGCACCATGGTCAGAACCAGAGCAGCAGGGGGCCAGACTGAGCACCTGCCCAGCCCCACACCGCAGCTCGAGTGCAAGCCCACCGTAGCAGGAAAGTGGACTCAGCCGAAGCTGGGTTTTACCGGTGACTACGAAAGTGGGAGAAAGGGCCACGTTTTAGAAAGAAGAGGACTGACAACATAAGGGTGGTGGGGAACATTGGAAAGGAAGTGGGGCTGAGGATCCCGGGAGGATGGGGCATTTCTGAAGCCCAGGAGCAGGACTAGGACTAGCTGCAACGAAGGACAACAGTGATCAGAGAGGGTGCTGGATGTCAGGGTCAGAAAGATCAGGCGCCGCTCTGGGAATGCGCAGGCGACAGAAGGCCTCGCAGCATCCCTTGCGAGATAAAGACTGCAAAACGACTTAAGTGTCCATCAACAGGAACAA